TATTCGGAAGGACGCAGTGGCAACATTTTCAAAAAATAGGACAAGTTTTTTACGCCAAAGCGTTCTGCGTAAAGATACCTTTTAGAAAACTATAAAATTGTTATATGTTCTTAAACAAAATTTTATTTTATTAATAAAAGAGTTAAGACACATTTTTGGCAAAAAAACGGCAAAAATCTAAAATTTTTTGAATTTTTAAATTATAAAACGTATATTTTTGGATCTGTAAATGATATTGATCTGAAATTTTTTGTATATTATTGGAAGTTTAGTTGTCTAAGAAAAAATTGAGTCCATTTGGTCCAAAATTACGGCCGGTATTCAAAAAAAGGCGGACCAAGGTATGGTAAATTTTGTATCACTAAATTTTTAAATGCCTATAACTCGGATATTATAAGAGATAAGTAGTATGTCCTTTCAGAAAATATAAAAATCTTTGTATTTGGATGAAAAACAAAAAATGGCACGAGTTTAAAAATTTTACATGTCGTAGGTACCCTACTTTGAGCCGCCACAGCGCCGTCCCTGGGGCATCTGCAGGGTTCATCTTCAAAACTCGAATACTCCTTGGCTACGATCACGCCAAATTTTATCAGCCGTTTAGAAATGCCAGATTTATTTCCAAAAAATTTCCATTCTGCCCCACTGTGCGACGTCGAAAGCATATCGTCTTTTTGATAAATCAACACGTAATGTAGTAGAGCAGCACGATGTTTTGTTTGATGAAGAATTATTTGATGTTCATAAGGAGGACAATAACAACTGTGAAATACCTCGTAAGGCAGAGGATTATTTGACAATATATTTGTGTGATGGTGATAGCAGTGCAGCTGTAGTTGACAACGATTGTCAACCTTCTGTGCAGAAAAGTGAAGACGATGAAAACTATGATACGGCAGATGATGACAATGAATCTGAAGATGGTAATGGAGCAGGACAGAAGACTTTTGGTCATGGAAGGCCTAAGATAATAAGATCTGGAAAACCTGGCAGACCGAAAAAACAATATAATGAGATACAACAAGAGGATAATAAATTGAATATTGCTATTGAGGAGAATATTCCATTAATAGTTGAAGATGCTTAGTCCTGTAAAAAAATAAGGATTTTTGGGAAAAGGCTATAAACGATGAATTCCAGTCATTGAGAAAAAAGAACATATGGTCATTATCAGATTTACCGGTTGGTCACAAGGTAATACCATGCAAATGGGTATTCGCTCTAAAACGAATCGTTAATGGAGAGGTCGAGAGGTACAAGGCACGCCTAGTTGACAAGGGTTGCAACCAACGATTTGGAATTGATTTCCAGGAAACTTTCTCCAGTCGTGCGGTATTCAACAATACATTTACTTTTAGCGTTGGCGGTACAGAATAAGATGCACCTACACCAAATAGATGTGAGTACGGCATATTTAAATAGTAGTCTTCAAGATGAGATATACATATATGCGGCAACCGACACATTTTGTTGATGCTTGTTCACCAGAAAAGGTTTAACGTTTGAATAAGGCGATTTATGGTTTGAAGCAAACCGGTAAAGAGTGGAATGTAAACTGGATAGTGTTTTACGACAAATGAATTTTGTTCCATGCGATAATGAACCATGCTTATACAAGGCTTTCAAGAATAATAATCTGGTGTTAATAGCGGTATACGTCGATGATTTGATTATTGGGTGTAGTCACAAATTGCCGATAATTTTGAGGTTTATGACAAAGGTGTACTCAACCATTTTCTAGGAATGGAAATAGAGCGTGAAGGCGATACAGGTACGATTAAATTGAGTCAATCTCAATATATTCGTGATATTTTGAGACAATATGGTATGGATGAATACAAATCAGTCTCGATGCCACTTGAGGCTGGTTATCAGGTAAATTGTAATGATGACTGTAAGAAAGTTGATCAACACGATTACCAACCTCTTGTTGGTACACTCATGTACCTTGCGATTTCTACAACACCGGATATTTGTGTCCAAGATGGCTCTACGAAATTCGGACCCACACGTTGAACAAATTGAAACACATCCTAAGGTATCTATCTGGAACAATAGATTTAAAACTTATTTATGAAGCGGGAGATCATAACAAAGCTATGGAGGAGTTCGTAGATGCTGACTGGGGAGAAAACGCATTAGACAGAAAATCTTATACAGGTTTTTGTATTTTTCTTCGATGGTTCTACAATCTCATGGGAGTCACGAAAACAATCTTCAGTCTCTGTCAGCAGTACAGAGGCTGAATATATGTCAGCTTCAGATGCGGCAAAGGAAGCAATATATTTAAAACGATTACTTATTGAAGTAAATGCATGCTGTGATGTTCTCGTAATTTTGAATATTGACAACCTGGGTGCTCAAAAATTAGCTGAGAATCTAGTTTTCCACAAACGCAGCAAGTACATCGACATAAAGTTTTATCATATCAGAGAGCTGGTGCAAAGTAAATAGGTGGAGCTTGTATATTGTCCAACGGCTGATATGATTGCGGATGTTTTGACGAAAAACCTACCAAGGGTTAAACATTTTAATTGTGTGAATTTGATGAAATTAAATTAATTTTTATTTGTAAAACAACATCCACATTGAGGAAGAGTGTTGAAGATGATATGGCAACTCTACAATGTGTACGTTGTTACTTTTGCTTTGACATTTTTTTTTGTATTCTATATATGTCAAAGCTTCACTCTCATTTAAAACTTTGAACTGTAAAGACATTTTTCATTTTTGCTTTAATAAATATTTTATATGTTACTTAAAACTTTAAAGTGTGCTACTATAAAATTTATCAATATGCTTAGTATTTTTAGATTTTTTACATAAATAATTCAAAATACTAAAGCAGTTTTTCTCCGTTTGACGGAGAATACAATCTTTTACAGCTACGTAAAGGTGGAAGTACACAACACGCGTTGAGGCGGCTACGCTTTTCAAACTTTTCGCGCTTTACAAATTGCAAGTTACACCACGCGTCATTTTGATCTTTCTTTTAAAGTTTTTTAAGACTATTACTGATATAAAAATAAAAATTTTAAGTTTTTGTTTATTTATTAAAATTTTTATTTCATTGTTGGTGAAATTTATTTCATTTTAGTTTATTCTTATTCTACACAAAACAAAATACAACCCTGATCAGCTGCCGACGCGTCAAAAATTGGAAGTTGCTGAACTTTTCGCGGCAGATGCGTTACAAACTACTGTGTGTAACTTGTTAAATGAAAATACACTATTTCAACTTTTTTTGAGAGAAGCCGTGTTGTGTACTTTCACCTTAAAACAGGCGAACAAGGTGAATTCAGATAAGGTGGTGCAAGGCGAATTCACATAAGGTGGTGTTATTCAATCAGCTGATTATTTTTCTTCAATTGACTGGTACGCACTGATGTCATGCTATTTTATTGTATACATATTTATATTTAAAAATTTCCGTTACAACAGAGAAAAACTTCGTTAGTATTTTGAATAATTTATGTAAAAAATCTAAAAATGCCAAGCATTTTGTAAACAAATATTTTTTATATAAATAATGAATAATTGGTACACATGTGCCGACTTAATATAACAATAATATTTTTTCTATTAAATGTTAACAAATTAAACAATATTGTTTTATATTTTATATGTACACTAAGTAGTTAACGCGATTAACTAAAAAATTCTGTTCCGGAACATTTTATATAAAAAACACAAGGTATTTACCCGACCGGCGGCAACAGTTTTCTACGTTATGGTCAACTTTTCAGATCTAAAAAATGTAATAAATTGTTTTAAATTTGCACTGTGTATATAATGTGATTTACTAACAAAATTCTGTTCCGGAACGTTTTTATAACAAAACCCTTAAAAATTACTGCGCCGGAGTAGAATTTTCCATTTACTAAAAAGATTCTTCAATTCGGTATATTATTTTTCCATAAGTTTTTACATTTTTATGTTTATTTTTCACAAAAATATCAATTTCACATAATTTTGGGCACAAACTTAAGTTTTGCAAAATTAATCTGCCTGAGTAGAATTTTTCATAAACATTATTCCAATCGGGATATATATTCTTCACAAATTTTAATATTTTTATGTGTATTTTTTATAATATATACAAATTTCACAATATATTTTCATTACATGAATTCGCCGCAATTATTGTTTTTGACATCAGTGCGTACCAAATTCAAGAGTAAATTTCATGGAAAATTTTGTTGTTGACGAACTGCCACCACCTTAATTAGCCTTGGTGGTGGCAGTTCAGCAACAACAAAATTTCAAAAACACTAATTGTGGCGAATTCATTTAATGAAATATTTTGTAAACATTTTTATTTTATAAAAATACACATAGAAATATTAGAATTTGTGTATATAATATACCCTGAGTGGAATAATGTTTGTTCCAAATGAAAAATTCTACTCCGGCAGATTAATTTTCAAAACTTAAGTCTGTTCCCAAATATCTCATATGGGTTTTGTTATAACACAGCGTTCCGGAACAGAACTTTGTTAGTTAATCACATTATTTTTACAGTGTAAATATAAAACAATTTATTATTTTTTTTTAGATCTGAAAAATGGACCATAACGTAGAAGACAGTTGCCGCCGGTCGGGTAAATACCTCAAGTGATCCGGAACGGTTTTTGTTACTTAGCCGCGTTAACTACAAAGTGTAAATAATTTGTTAACTTTTAATAGAAAAATATTATTGTTATATTATGTCGGTAAATGCGTACCAATTATTCAATATTTATATAATAAAAATATTTGTTTACAAAATGCTTAGTATTTTCAGATTTGTTTCCATATAGTATTAAAAAAACTAACGAAGTTTTTCTCTTTTTTAACGGAAATTTTAAATGTAATAATGTAAACAATAACAAACTCTGACATCAGTGGGTACCAGTCAAGTGAAAAAAATCTGTAGTTTGAATTACAACACCTTATTTGTATTCTGCTTGATGTCGATTCAAGTCGAAAAGTCGACTTTTTCCTCTTAAAACACATATATTTTTATGGTATGTTTATTTCCCATTGAATTTTGTTTGTTATTGTCATGAAAAATAAGAAGAAGAATATCTGAAAATACTTAAATTTGAAAAATACAAAATTGCATTTTATTCATGATGGTATCTAGTAATATATTATTTATATTAAGTTTACTGCAACTTTTATATTTTAGGAGGATAGTTGGATCTATATAAAAAATATTCTTTTGAATGGAAATGCGGGCGAAATTCATGAAGCACTTGTAGCTATCAAAGATTCTGTAATAGGAAGCAACAAGCAAAAGTATCTTCTTATTTCAAATGAAATATTACCAATTTTAATAAAAATTTCTTCAAATAATGATGACATAACAAATAAAATAGAGGCTCTTATAATTATTGGTAAGTGTTTAATTTATCTACTGTATCTTGTATGAACTATTGAGGTTTTTATGAATGTGAAAAAATAAAGGGATTTCTATAACAACACATAAATACTTGAAAGTGTAAAAAATAATCACATTCAAAATTTTGCAAAAGTTCTCTCCTTTTGCAACATTGCTTTTACTTTTTTCGTTCTTTGAGTTTTGATTTTACAGTATGGTAGGTTGATGAAGCTGATTGCTACCGTCATTCTAGTCCTAATAAGTTTTTGGTTGTTGTTGTTGTAACAGCTTAAACTATTCAATTTTTAATCCGGGGGTTCTGTATTTAGGTCCAAGCCAAGAAATTGGGCTACTTCAATAGGGTTAGTCCATAAATCCATTGGGCTAAGTGAAGTAGGGTGGGCTGGACAGTTGAATATGTGGTGGATATCATGGGGACCTTGTCCACAAGCTGGGCATATATTGGGGACGGCACGGTCTATGCGGGACCAGTAGGCGTTGAGCCTGTTGCTCCATCCCGATCTCAGTTGTGCCAGAGCAACTCTTGTTTTCCGCGGCAGGTTCTTCTCTATTTCTGCTATGGGCTGTGGGCGACCTCCAAGAACGACATTCATGCGGTAACCTGAAACCGCGGTATTGATGGCGTCTCTATGAATGTCGTTCAAAGCTTCTGTATACGAATTCCGATCTAAGGGATCCTGAACATAACTTCGTATGCTCTCTTCGTATACACGAAGGTCCTTCCATCCAACTGTGTGATGTTAAAGTTGGGATGACTCCTCCGGTGACATCCCAGGAGGAACTGTTTAGTTAGTTACAGTCCTTAGGGCAGCATTTTGGCACCTTTGAATATTTATCCACTGGGTATCACTCAGCAAAGGAGACCACTGACCGGCCAATTTTTTTATAGGTAGCCAACAAGGTTTCTTTGTCCATTCCCCAAGTGTTGCCGGCTAGCGCTTTGAGGACCTTGTTTCTACTTCGCAATCTGTGCGTAATTGCAGTGGCATGAGCTGAGGAAGTAAACAGGCTGTCAAAGGTGACCCCCAAAATCTTTGGGTGGTTCACAGTCGCTATTTGGTTTCCATCGACTACGACGCCTAGGTTCAAGTTTACCTCCTTCGTCCAATTACAGTTATTGGTAGAATACTGTCATTGTAACGAGCGAAAATACCAAAAATTAATCCAAATTCTGATAATTTTAGAAAAAAATTTTCTTAAATATTAAAATTTACTATATTTTGAATGAAAACAAATATATGATTAATGAATGGCAAATAAAAAATGCATATTCTGTGGAATTTTTCTTTAAAATGAGATATAAAATCAACACTTTGTTAAATTTCGCTACAATATATCCAATAGTTACATAGATACCGATAATAAAAGTTTCTAAATCAGTGTGTACTGTTTATATAAAATTTATATTCCTTCTATTAACAATACTTTGTATTTCATATAAAATTATATTAATTTTGTTAGGATATTTGGACTTTGACTTATATTAACTTTTAAACTATTTAAGATAATATCATAGCGTTATGTTAGCAGTATTTCATTCTGACTTGAAATAGTGAATAGTTTTAAAGTACTTATTACCAGTAAATAATGTATTTTAAATGATAATAAGTTAAATGTTAGAAAGCGGTAGACCGCTTATAAATATACGTGAAATTGTCGATGCATGTTTCAAAGACCTTGTAATTACGGTAAAATAATACGCGAATATAAATCTTCACCGATAAGAATTTTTATAAAAAGATTAGAATCAGCCAAACAAAGATTTTACAATTTTTTAATATCGATGTTTACAGAAGTCGATGGCAAATTTCCAGTTATTTCTGGTGAAACAAATGCGTTAGTTGATAGTTTTATTGAAGTATCTAAATCTGAACTAATTTCTAAAGGACAAAACTTTGTAACTCCAAAAACCACATTATTAATGCCAGAAACGTTATAATTCGCAGAATGAGTAGGAAGATTTTCATTCTCAACCCGAATCTATTAATGCACAGACCTGACACTTATGGCTGTTATGAATTATGTTTACCATTGCAGTCACTAACAAAAAGGACTTATTCTGTATAGTATGAAATACTTGTGGATTAGAAGTAACATTATTGGACGTATGCGATTGTCGAGTGTGGGTGTTAGTGGGTCGTAAAACCTCACTGGAATTATGTTCAGTAGAAACAGTAAGTCTTTCAATTATTCAATTAATTTTTTTTGGTCTGGATGGCATTCTATTACAATATGGATTAATAAATTAATAAAATAAATAAATTATAGAATTATCTGTATGCTGCAGATGAAGCATAGAATGATGTCGATTATTGCAAATAAAATAGTTTTTATTGATTGTACAACTTCTGTGTCCTTGAAAGGCAATTATTACAGCTATTGTCATTCACTGAAAGATTTTTAAATCGACGACAATTTCGTAAATAGTGGGACTGATCAGGGCATAAGATACATGAAGGGTTAGTAAAAGTAGAACTATTTGAAGGCACTGAAGAGTCGACGTCACACAGGCAGGCATTTTGGCTGAAAACTTCGTAAAAATTATTAGAAGCCTTTTTTGAGTTAATGGCTGGATTTTTTTTGATAGTGTTAGTGTTAATTAGGCTCTAGGATGAACCCAGCTGATTTTGGTAAAAATCAGTCCGTTATTTCGAAATTGCATTTATTTGCACATAATTGTGGTAATTATGCAACAATCAAAGCAAAGATCAGTTTTGTGTACTCATAATACATGGTATAAAGTTTGGTGAAAATCGGAAAACATTTGACCCTAGTCCCCATATGAATTCCCCTTTAAAAATTAATTTTAATGCTCATGAATGGCTTAAAAACATTGATTTCTTCATGAAACTTGGCATGAAGGCATGTGTTTCTTAAACATATTTCCAAATTTTCTTATGGTCGGTCCATAATTGCCCCTAGGTACCGTATAAGGTCCCTTATGAAAATCAGTTAAACATTTATATCAAATCTAATTTAACGTGAACGTGTTTTATATGAATCCCAGCAATTCATTCAATTCTTTTTTTATTTTAGATTTTAAGAAATCAGTTTTATGCATTAAATATTTCTTTCGTTTCATATTTCGAAAAGTAAGTTATGACGAATTTTTATTCACAAGACTTGGAAGAATACGTCCATAAAATTTTGTGGTCGAGAGTAGTTCCATGTTGGAGAAATAAACACTCAAAGTTAAAATTTCTCAAAAATGTGATTGAAATCAAGTAGTTTTTTTTTTACAACTTTTAGATATTATGAGGGCGGCTTACAACTTAGAAAGTCAATTTTGCTAATGTAAGCTGTATACACTTGTTGAATGACTATAGTCCATATTTAATTATTGTGCCATTTACAAGTAAAGAATTACGTGGTCGCAATGTTTTGAAACCAAATTTATACAATTTTACAAAATTTGCAGTTTTTTTGATAGAATATTTTGGATAGAATATTGATGGTATCTCTGCGGGAGAAGCTTAAATATTAGAAAAACAAACGTGAAAGTTTCAAAAAAAGGTCTTTTTCGCGAAGCACACTACCAGCGTAACTTCAATATACCCAAAATATCGCGTGATCGAAATACTTTTAAATTTTACATATTGAAATCATAAAGCCGCGATAAAATATTAGCATGCAAAGATGTTAGAGCGATTACAAAAAATTGCGAATTTTTCATTTTTTACTTTAGCAAATTTTCGCATTATCAACAAATTTTAAATTCTGATTTTATCAGTAATCAATCTTTATATAGAAATCATTGGTTTGCATCAAAAAAATTTAATCGAGGCCTTTCGTGGACTGAATACGCGGGGTTTCTTTCACAGCATAAATCGATGAAGCACACCTAAGCCGCTAATTTAAATTAGGGACATTATACATCAACTGGTAGCTGACAATGATGCTTATACGAAAATCGATAAGCCGTTCGAAAAAAACTGCGTTTTTGCATTAAAAAAGTGTAAAAAAGTTCATTCATGTAAATATATAAATTCTTTACAAAATTTAAATTAACCGAACAGATTTTCATTTTAACGGTTTTTTGCGTTAATAATTCATTTAAATTTAAAAATGATAAAAGCAGTTAATTGTAGATAAACTGGGATATGTTGACTGCAAAAGAAATTTCATCTAAATTACTCTTTCGCCGAAAACGCGGTGTTTCTAGTGTTACAAGACAATTCGACGAAGCACACCTAAATAGCAAATTCTATATGCCGATTGAAAAAATACAACCATTTTGGATTTAATGCAATTTTAAAAAAATGCATTCGAATATAAGCAAAAATAAATTAAAACCTCATAATTTTTAATCTATCAAACATAAATGCATAATTTTTTTAGTTAATGATTGTAAATGAATGTATTAATTCATCATAAAAATATTTTTTAAAGAGGTTGAAAAAACTCTTAAAAAGCGAATTTATCCACGAATATTTAAAATATTTGGGTTAAATTAATTTGTATTTTGGATCCTTCGTTGTGGGTTATATCCACGCTTATATTTTCGAGTTTCATGTAAAAACATAATTTTGGGAATTTTTTTTAAACTGTTAACTTTAAACCGCTATAACTTTGGCGGCTTTTGCTAAAAATTATTCACGAAAAGATAATTGTACTTCTAAGATGTTAGAAAATGTCCACACAAAATATCGTTTTTATTTTGGATCCTTTGTTGTGGGTTATATCCACGCTTATATTTTCGAGTTTCATGTAAAAACATAATTTTGGGAATTTTTTTAAACTGTTAACTTTACACCTCTATAACTTTGGCGGCTTTTGCTAAAAATTATTCACGAGAAGATAATTGTACTTCTAAGATGTTAGAAAATGTCCACACAAAATATCGTTGATGTGCTATTAAAAAAATTTCATAATTTTTTTGAACCCCAAAATCAAAATTAAAAATAGAATTTGCGATATGTAAATAGAATTTATTTTTAACTTGCAATTACATTTATTATATATAATTATACAGTATTGGCCAAGAAGGCTTTCTAT